AGACGGACGCAAACTTCTGCTGGATGCGCTCAAGCTTATTGGCATCAGTCGAGGTGATGGAGTTCCAAACTACTGAGGCATATTCCAACTTGGACCTGACTAAAGTAAAATATAGTATATACAGACTCTCCAGGGAGGAAAACCTGTAGGTAATGGAGCGAATAAGGCCTAAAAGCTTTATGCATTCAGAAAATATGTAATTAACATGTGTGTGAAAATGTAACTTTGAATCAAAGAAAACACCCAGGTCCTTAATACTGCTGGTGCGTGTAATGATAGCATTACAAAGCTGATACTTGTAGCTCAGAAAATTTGTTTTTCTGGTGTATGATACAACACGTGTTTTAGCAATATTAAGTTTCATGCAGTTAGAAGTGCACCAGTCACTTACGGAATTAATGTCAGATTGAAGTAAGAGGCAATCATGTGGAGAGCTGATAATGCGGAGAATTTTTAGATCATCGGCAAAAATTAGAAATTTACAGTAGTTAACAGAATCACATAGGTCATTTATAAATACAATGAAAAGAAAAGGCCCCAGAACAGAGCCTTGCGGCACCCCGGACGTTACATGAAAAGGGAGGGAGAGAGTGCCAGAAACGCGAACCCGAGACTGTATGTTGACTAAGTAACTGCGAAACCAGCTAACATAAGCATCAGAGAATCCGAAGGAGCTTAATTTATGCTAGAGCATATTATGAGGGACGAGGTCAAAAGCATTAGAAAGATCAAAATAGATGGCATCAGCTTGACGCTGACAGCGGAAAACAGGCGTCAAGAAGTCGAGAAACGACACCAAATGGTAACTGTAGATTTAGTTCTGGTAAAGCCATGTTGGCTGGAATTAAATTTAGCGAAATGAGAAACGTGATCATGAATAATGAATTCAAACAATTTAGAGAAATTACTGAGAATAGAAATAGGCATGTAGTTGCTCACAGCGGCATGATTGCCTCTTTTAAATACTGGAACAACAGCAGATTCTTTCCATGCAGCAGGAAAATACTGCTACATCAGGCTCAAGTTAAATATATGCCTAAGTATGGGAATAAAAATACCTGCACAACCTTTGATGATAAAACGAGGAATACCGTCAAGCCCAACAGATTTTGATGGTTTTAGTCTCTTGATGGCTTTGTACACATCAGCATCAGAAAAGGGGGCACGGGATACAAATTCAGAAGATTGCGAGAGAGGGTGAATGACCTTAGAGCAGTGGTTATTGTAAACAGACTGAAAGTGCTTAGCGAATGCATCAGCAACAGCTATGGGCTGGACTAGGTGCGTACCACCAACTTTTAGATGAATGGAACCAGATCTATGCTTTCTGAAATTAGACATGTATTTCCAGAAATGTTGGGGCTGTGACTTTAAATTGTTATCAACTGACTTCAACCACCTAAGCCTGTCGGACTTGATGGTGTTTTTAACTAGTTTTCTATAATAGGCGAACCTGTCGTAAAAGTAATCAGAAGGATTCTTTTTAAAACGACGGTGGAAATAATTTTTCTTGATGATGTAATGCCTTAAGGTATAGGAGAACCAGTGAGGGAATTTAGACTTGCAGCGATACCCACAAGGAATTGCCTGCTCCATGGCGACTGCTACATCAACAGAAGAGGTTTCACATACATGCTAGACCAAACATAAGGTGATAGAATGTTGTAAAGCAAAGCGTAGTTCCCTGCTGCGAAATTTTGATAACTAAACTCAGAATTTAAATTAGTGTTAACATTAGGTAACAGAACATCAATATTCAAAGGAGGGGTGATATAAATCATGTGCAACCAATCCAGAGTCGGCAGGAACAGACTTTAGATCAGTGAAATTTGCAAATACTAGGTCAAGCATGTTAAGAGTGTCAACAGCCTCATCGCACTGCCTTAGGCCAAGAAAACATGTGGAGGTGTACATAGAGTCCCCTTTGAGTTTAGAATAATAATGGCAACTAGAAAGAGGTGTCCCTTTCTCCCAGTTGAATCCAGGAGCATTGAAGTCACCGAGTAATATGACGCGAGTAGTGTTCGTGTCTAGATTGTTTTCAAGTTACCGAAAGTAGGCAGTAATGATTTCCAGTTTGGTGTCAGGGGAGGAGTAATGGTTACCAATAAGCATGTTTATGCCATCAGCAGTGGGAACCTTGACCCACACACATTCAGAACAGAGTTCTAAATCATACCTGCGACTGCAAGAGCCCAGGCTAGCGGTAATGGCTGTTAATACGCCACCACGGCGAGCCTTGTTTATATATGGCCGGTCAGACCAGTAAACGGTGTATTGGTTAGGAAACAGATTGTGATCATAGCAGAGGTCGTTGAGCCATGTCTCGGAGAGACAAATTATGTCGTAATTGGAGGCACACACGTCATAAAATTCAAATTGTTTGGTCCTGAGACCTCTAACGTTTTGATAGTAAATGCCAAGAGAGTTACCAAAATTCGCATGCGACATGGCCGAACGACTCGTGCTCACATCACTGAAAGAGGTTATGTTTATGTGCATGTCAAGCTGCCTCCATTAGCCCCATCGTTACCCACTGGATTTTCTGCAGGTTTAACAGCAGCAGCGGGAGCTGCTGCTTCACGTGTGCTGGCAGTAAATATCTGGTCCACGGTAAGCTTACCATAATATGGAGCAATCAAGCAACCAGAAGGCCAGACACCAGTGTTATTTATTAGAGCAAATTCGTCTTCCAATGCAGAGATGTGAAAGGAAGAGTACGAGTTGAATTTAGTTTTGAGTCTGGTGCAGACCAACTGTTTTAGACTCAATTGCTCCTTCAATGATTTGTGCACATCATCAGCAGTAACCTTGGGGTTAAACCGAGATACAAATAGTACCTTAGATCTTTCAGCTTTTTTGACAACCGGCAAGGATTGTGAGCTACTAATACCGATGAGGGGCTGTCTGCGAAGCTTAACCTTGTTGACAACAGCACTTGCAACAGGAGTGCTGGTGGTGGTCCTATTTCTGTACCTAACAGTTTTAAATCCGTCAGGATCAGGTAGCGCTGTAGGCCCAGAGGGTGAAATCCCGACCGCAGCGACATCCCTGTACAACAAGGTCGTCCCAGCAGGTACAACAGGCGAGGCCTGAGTGGAGAGGGAAGCTGAAGGCATGCGCTGGTTGCTGGCCGCTTCCTTGCGGGATGTTTCTGCCGGCAGAATGCGTTGCTCCCTAGGGGGCCTGGGTGAGGCTTCAACATGGCTATGCAGATTCCTAATTTCCTCTTTCAGCAGCTAGTTATCATTTTTTAGATGGGCGACCTCTTTAGCCAGATTTGTTACCATATCCACAATGGACTCAATTGCATTGTCCATTGTGTCTAATAGCTGCAAGCTGAGTACTCACAGATATAAGCGGAGAGGCCTCTTGGTTGGATGAAGCACAACTTGTGGCTCCTTCATTAGCTCCTTCATTAGATGGAGATCCCGGTGAATTGGTAGGATCCATATCAATGCCTGATGAATACACACACGCGTTGCACTTGTATACAGACTCACCCTCAGCGGTTACAGTAACCTGCTCAGCCTCTCCAAGTTGCAGGCACGCACAGTGAGATCACACCTCACATACACCACACCGAATAAATTTTTGTTTTCCATAAAATGGCTTGTCACATAATGGACAAGCATCCTGGCTGGCCACCATGAAGCCACACAGAAACACGAACACTGGATTCACAAGATAAAAGTTCTTGATGTTTGCAGCAAGCAGCGGGAGCAGGAGCACACAGTACAACACGTCCGCTCACTCCGAGCACTCGAGCAGCAGCAGCAGCAGCAATTCAATTCAATTCAATTCTTGGTTAATAATAATAATAATAATAATAATAATAATAATAATAATAATAAGCAATAAAATTTAATATCTAATATGCAAACAAAGATGAAACTACTTAATCTCTAATATTTAATTTAATTTATTTATCATTATATTAAAATCAGCTAACTACTGAAATGAAGAATGGGAATGGAAATTAGAAGTACCAAAATTGTGGGGCAGAAATCATATTAATACACTCAAGTTCACAGGAATACCAACCTTGAGATTATCTGGCAACTCATAGCGACCAGCATATCCTGGATTCATTGTAATGAACATGGCACATGTGGGATCCATCTTTATTTCTGTTCCATCAAATATGAATTTCTGGACCCCCAAGCTGATGGCCCTCTGAATGGTCAATATCTGCTGTGCCACAACAGACAACACCTCAAGATCAATACGGTTGAACTCATCAAAACATGACCAGGCACCACACGAGGCCAGTCCCTGAAAGATACACAGAAAATGAACTAAAAATATTGCAGTTAATTCTGAAGCCAGTATTTTCCAAATGTATCCACTATCAACAAAGCTGTCCAACCTCATACCTGAGATTGCACAGCATTTTAACAATGCCACTGTTAGTGGCAAATTACACATTAGTCAGTTCCATGTGGCTAGTTTTCACCTAAGAGTAAAAATTCTGATACAGATGCACAATACCATCCTTGTGTACATATGCCCATACTTCTTTCTAGTAAAACAGGCATACAGAAAAACGCAAATATGCATACATGTATGCAAATATATAAAGGCTGTGACAGGTGTTTGTTGCCATATTTCAGGAGCATACTCAGGGTTCCCTATAGAACAACTTTGAAATAGGAACCCATGTCTGTAAACGTAAAATAGCAGCACTAGGCTGGCTTGGCGCCTCAAGGTCAAAGAGCATGCACAGGCATATTACCACCTCCAAACTCTAAAGACTCACCTGCTAGAGTAGATGTTGGAACTGGCGCCCTCCATTTTCAATGCACGCGTTACATCGACGAAAGAAACTTTGGCGCACCCTTTCAAATATTCCAGGTGTCTCACGGATCGGATCACATCACATGCAACAAGTATTCTGGCCAACAGCTCGAATTTAATTATCCACAGGTGTGTTGTAGATCAGGCTTTTCACATCACCCCAGACGAAATAGTCCAGAGGTGTCAAGTCTAGGGATTGGGGTGGCCAAGGCACTGCGCCTCATTTTCCTATCCAACGACCATGAAAAGCAGCATTCATGTAGTCTCGTGATACAATGCTGAAGTGTGCCAGCGCCGACCTAGCGCTGCTATTTTACATTTGCTGACATGGGTTCCTATTTCAAAGTTATTCTATTGGGAACCCTCAGTATGCTCCTGAAGTATGGCACCAAACTCCTAGGACATTCTGTATATATACTCATGTGCATGTGAATGTGTGTGTAAAGCAAAAAGAAAAGAAGACTTTCTTTTTCTAAAGCACTCTGTCATAGTGGCCTGCAGAGAACAAGCAGGAGAACCTCCATACATTCCTGACCTTGGAACAAGACAAAGGTGAGTGGCCAGAATTATGATCTGGCCACTTTATATGCATGGAGATAACCTATGATATCCATACCAGCTTGGTCCCAGAGCTGATGTGGATAATGCGGCAACAACAAAATCAACCACAAATGAAATTCAGCCAGAGCCAGTCACTTTACTCAAGATGTTAACTTGGTTTTTTAGCCTCTAATAATCAATTTATGCTTAAGACATTTCTTACATTTATTTTTTTGAATTTCTAATATGTCTGGCAGAACGCTTCCATTCATAATTCATAGTGTGCTTTTCTGTGAAGTGGGACTGTTCTCCTCATGACAGTGAAAGGATAATATGTATGATGCATATTCCACATGCCCCACTTATGTATAGGTGGGACGGTCGATCTCTGATGCGTAGTGGTCTGACGCATGTCGGCGAGCCTAAGATTGGTGAGCTTGCGCAGTGACACTTAGTTGCCTCAATAAGAAGGTAGACATTGAGCGAGTAGGATCGCTGTTATTAGTAGATACTATGTGCTTTTCCCACATTCCAGTTGCCAGTTGCCAGTGCCAGCCTACGAATGTTCTCTCTGCAGACGAAGCAAGTTCATAGCATAGACTCGCTCTCATGCGCTGACAGCGAAGGACACCGGCCAAAAAGTATCGGCAGGCTTATATGATATAATGAATGAATGAATGAATGTATGAAGGGGTAGGCCTACTCGGCCCTTGCACTTAGACCTCAGTGGTCCATTGTGCTTCCCAGTTTTTAATTATTCCCTTAGCAACCCCACGCTTCAGATGAAGCGCAGGATTTTGGACGTGGGGGCGTCGAAATAGTCACTTGGTTCCATAAAGTACTGACCCAAGTGACATAGTCTTAAAGAAGCTAAAGCCTCACATTCACACAGGACGTGTGTGGCTGTTTCATTTTCTATCTGACACCTCTCACAATTGGGACTATCACTTAGTCCCAGTTTGAACAGTTGTCCTTTGAGGTAACAGTGTCCTGTAAGTAGTCCTACCACCCATCATAGCTGGTTCCTGTTTAACTTCAACAGTTCCTTCGCTCTTTTAGTAGGAGGTCCCCGTTTGAGTACCTTTGCTTGCCTGAGTCCAGTTAAGGATTCTCAGTATTTCTTGTGTTTCATGTTTGTCCAGTCCCTGATTGCCTGTCTGGCAACTCCTATAGAGATGCCACAGGCTGTTTCAGGTCCTATGAATGGATGTTCAGCTCCGATCTTGGCCAACTGGTCTGCTGTTTCATTTCCAGCAATACCCTGATGCCCTGGCACCCATATCAGTTGTACCCTGTTATGTTTGGCCAGTTCCATGAGGGTTTGGTGGCAATCCCAGACCAATTTTGAATTGATCTGGTGTTTGTCAAGCGCTTTAAGTACTGCTTGGCTGTCAGATAGAATGTAGATGTTCCTATTTATATTGTTCCTATCTAAATTCTCCATAATACATGCCATAATGGCATATACCTCTGCCTGGAATACTGTTGTGTTCTGCCCAAGGCTGAAACTAAGTTTCTACCTCGTGCCATAGCAGTACAAACCAGCTCCAGTGCCCATATTTATCTTGGAAAATTCTGTATACCAAATCAGTCCCCCTTTTCTATCGGGCTGAAACCCGTCTCCTCAGTCACTCCTGTCAGGAAATCTGACTGTGAATGGTTTTTTTATACATGTCTCAATATCATTCTGTCAGACCCCATTTGTAATATGGGTTCTTTTTTCATATCCTGAGTTATGTATGCATGTCTGAAACTACTGGATTTAGGTTTCCATTGATAACGGCACTGGAGACGGTAGATTCCTGCCCTGGCCTCTGCCTCCAACTGTATGTGCAGTGGGGGGAGTCCAAGGAGTGTCCACAGTGCAGCTGTTGGAGATGTTTGAATTGCTCCTGTGATACCTAAGCAAGCCAACCTTTGCAATTTGCTAAGTCCTGCCTTGATTGTCCTGAGTTTAACTCTGGGCCACCATACTGTGGCACCATAATGTAACTGTGGGTCTTAAAACCGAAGTATATATCCAATGCACAATGTGCAGCTGCAGTCCCCAGGTTTTACCAAACATGCTTCTGCATGTCCAAAAAGTCTTATAGGCTTTGTTAATGACCTTGTCCAGGTGCTTTTTCCATGTTGGTCCCTTGTCTAATTCTAGACCAAGGTACTTGACATCGCTGGAGAGCTGGATTGTCTTATTGAAGAGAATCGGTTCCCTGAGACCCTTTACATTTCTCTTCCTAGTAAACGGTATGATTACCGTCTTGTTGGGATTGATGGAGAGACCTGTTCTTTCACACCATCGTTGGACCATGTATAGAGCTGAGTGGAGACGCTCTGATACGGTCAAAAGGAATTTTCCATTAATGAGGATTGCTATGTCATCAGCATATCCTACTGTATTATACCCATCATCATTAAGTCCCCACAGGAGATCATCAACCACCAGGCTCCACAGCAGAGGTGAAAGTACGCCCCCCTGTGGACATCCCCTAGACACGGACACCCCCAGGGGTTCTCCCGATAATGTAGCAGCTATGATTCTGCTTTCCGGCATAGCATTGATCCATCTGCATATTGCGGGCTCTATGCCATGCCTTCCAGCAGCCTGTTTGATTACATCAAATGAGGTTCTATCAAAGGCTCCCTCTATATCAAGGAATGCTCCTAAGGCAGTATCCTTGTGTTCAAATGCACTTTCTATGCGTGTTACCACATTATGTAGTGCACTTTCGGTAGATTTACCTGTTTGGTAGGCATGTTGGTTTTGATGTAAAGGACATGTCCTCAGTACCCCGTCCCTAAGATGCCTATCCACTAGTTTCTCCATCGTTTTCAAAAGGAAAGACGACAGGCTGATAGGGTGATAAGCCTTAGCCTCGGTATAATCAAGTTTCCCAGGCTTTGGGATAAACATCACATTAACTTGCCCCCAGGCCATGACGATGAAACCATATGCCATACAGGCTCTATATATGCGGCATAGGTGTGGAACTAAGAGTTCTGCCCCTTGCTGCAAAAGTGCCGGTATAATTCCGTCTGTTCCCGCTGACTTAAATGGTCTAAATGTATTCAGAGCCCATCTGATTTTTGATTGCTTAAATATGACTTTGGCCAGGTTCCAGTCTATCCTCTTCATCTTGCTTGGCAAGTGCCTAGGTTTTGCTGATCCTGTCCGTCGTCCAAAATATCAATCAATTTTGAATCAGGAAAGTGAACCCTGAATAATTCATTCAGTGTCTCCCTTTCTGTTTCAGTATACTGCCCGTTAGGCAGCTTAATCGTGCTGACCTTATTTGTCGCCTGTTTTGCCATGATTCTCATTGAGTCTGGCACCGCCTGGTACATCACTGATCTCCTGGTAGTGCCTCCTCCATGAGGATCACTTGGTTTTCTTTATTTCTTTGTTGTAACAGGTAAGGGCTTCCTTGTAGGTGTCCCACTGCCCTCTTCTTATGTATGATATAAAATGTAGTTGTATTTTTTCAGACTAGCATAATCTACTCCTCTGCCCATAAACCAGGTCAAAAATCTACACTGATCATGTATGATGGAACTTCTAAATAACATTCAACAAGCATGTTCAACGTTTTGGCAGTAAAAGCAATAAAGTAAATGCAACGTAGGCCTGAAATAGACCAGAATTAAGTTAACATAAATGATAATCAGAATATATGCCGTCTATGTTATAATAAAATTTGTTACATGAAAAGCCACTGAACTTCATATCTGCCTTATATTATATATACAATAATTATTAACACAGACAACTTTTTCAAGACGTTATTTTACAACTGAGATCAAAACATAAGTAGCCAAACTCTTGACAGTAAAAATGACACATATCACATACTTTGAAGAACTTTCCAAGGGAAATGTAGTCAAGGCTATCTGAGCAGTTAAACACCACACATTGTTTGGCAACAGCCTTTGCCAGGTCCTTTATTGTTTCTGTCTTCCCTGTACCAGCTGGGCCCTCTGGGGCACCCCCTGCAATACATAAGCACATACAACTATCAGTATGACCATTACATACAAACTTTTTATACTGAAATCTTGGAGTCTAAATACACGTAAATTTATTAAACATTACAATACTGAATTTGAGTGTTCTAGAGACTTCCTATACAGTGTGGTTACCTATAAATTTAACGCAGTCATAGTTGTCAAAAGTGACACAGGAATACCATATACAGATTCACAGTGTGGTCTTCCAGATTATGACACCATACTGTAGTCTGGTAGGTGGATACCTGTGTTTCGGAGAATAAAACTGCCTCCATCTCCAGGGTAGAAGATTCAATTAAGGCAGCCATTGCCTACCTATTATTCAAAGCAGGTATCCACCAAATGAAAATCTGATGTCTTATCATTTGTCATATCATATCATCATCGTATCTTATCATATGTTGATACAGTAGTGTCTTCTTTGTTTTGAATACCGTCTACACAACTACTATCAGTATTCAAAACAAAAGGGGACACTATTGCATCAACATTTGCTTTTATTATGTTTATTAGAGACGCAACATGTTTCGACCCTTTCACTGGTCATCATCAGGCATACAATGCACCAGTCTGAGCTGCTGAGTTGCAATAAATTGTCATTTTAATCATCGAATAAGGATCCTTATTGTAACTTAAAATTAAATTCAAATGTAAATGTATAACAAATTTTGGGCGAAATATGAGGCTAAAACCCTTAGATGAAAATTGTATTTAAAATTACAGAAGTAAAGGTAAGAAAACACGAGGTCAAAGATTAAGACATGAAAATTAAAATAAATTTAAAATAGTGTTTTGTTGGTAACACTGCAACCACTATGTGTATACCTGGTTTTAAGCCGGAAGAAGCGACTACAGCATGGGGGACCCGCGTAACAGAATAATCTAGGGTGAGTCATGTAGCCATGACCTTGGCAATGTCTTAGAGAGCTTAAGCTCAATATATGGTAAGTGATATATATTAGGTTGTACTTATGAATGATGTGTGTGCAGGCTGCCCTTGCCTTGATGCTGTCACTATGGTGTAGTGGCATGGCCTACATGTAGTGGTTGTAGAGTGTTACCAACAAAACACTATTTTAAACTTATTTTAATTTTCATGTCTTAATCTTTGTTCTCTTGTTTTAATGCTTTAATTTCTTATCTGTACTTCTGTAATTTTAAATACAATTTTCTTCTAAGGGTTTTAGCTTCATATTTCACCCAAGATTTGTTATACATTTACATTTGAATTTAATTTCAAGTTACAATAAGGATCCTTATTCGATAATTAAAATGACAATTTATTGCAGTTCAGCAGCTCAGACTGGTGCATTGTATGCCTGATGATGACCCACAAAAGGGGCGAAACATGTTGTGTCTCTAATAAACATAACAAAAGCAAATGTAGATGCAGTAGTGTCTTCTTTGTTTTGAATACTGATTGTTGTTATGTAGACGGTATATCCTGTACTTTATATATCTTGTTTATGACACACAACAGGATGCACAATATTAAGATAATATACTTCACACTTTCACATTGCACTCAGACTCTGCTAAATGTTGATACTATCTTTTCAGTGGGTTTCAGCGAGACATGTGCAATGAATAAAGGGCAGCACAGGAATATATCATTCCACGAGCACAGATACACTGGCTATTCAGATTCATCTCACCCAAATGAAGGTGTAGTGCCCCAAACAGTGTCCTATAGCATCGGTCAGTGAGTGGCGTGACGACAAGACGTGGTGAGTTTCCAAGGTACTCATACCCATATATCAAACAGGAGTTGATCATGCAAATTGACAGCATATTGTCCTGCGAAAGAAGCCGCAGCATGAGATGGGCAAAGTTATATGCTGCTATATAGAATATTTCTATAGACCTACGTGATGACATACCCTCCAGTAATAGCGTAGCTGGCACAGCCACTGAAAATCAGTATCCTTATGCACTGCCTTCTCTATGAGTGTTTGTACCACATCTCGAGAATGTACATCCAATACAACCAGTGCACCTGAAACATTTACATTATTGAAAATTTATTAAAAAACATATGAGTGTTACCCACCAAGAAACTAAATAGAGTGAATGAAAAACAACTCACTATGACACATCAGAGTGAGTATGAAACATAAAATAATCTCCTGTCACTGTCTGTAGGTGCCCTTACTTCAGTAAGTGAGTGTTCTTGCCTGTTTCACTTTACCTAAATTATAAAAATGGAGAAACTTTGAAGTTACATCTGAGAGCTATCATGTTGGGATATTAATTTTTGTGTAATTTATGCACACAAATATATTGTCACATGCAGGGTGGTACACATGACGAAAATAACAGGTTCTAGTTCAATTATTGAATTTATTAGCATTTATTTGGCTTACAAGTTTTCTTAATTACCATTAATACAGCGCTATCACTGATTTACAAAATGTACAGTTCATCGTTCACATGCACTAGGAATCCCCATCTTCACTAATTGTCTCCTGGCTACAGATGTTAACACAGAAACTAGCACTTCAAATTGCTATGAAGTCTTCTTGCTGTTTTGTCTTCAATCACTCCTGAACCTAGAAACTGAAGATTCTTATGGACTAACTCCTCCAGCATATGACTGACTCATAACTTCCCTGAAGAAATGTTGTCACTCTTCTCTTCTCTCATAAGCACCCTGCACAGACCTCATGGAAAACACCGTCTCTATTGTTGATGATGACACCGCTTTCATAGCACAGTCTGACACGCAGAAATGTGTTTACTGAGCTGTTGCTTAGAAATGGGTTGCATAACCCCATTGTTCCACCAGTGCTAAGTGCAGACAACATAGATAACAGCCTCAGCTATTGTTGTGTCACCAAACAATTGACTGTTTATCAAGGATCTGTCTTTGCGGGAACTTGTTTACCAACACGTTGCATAACAATGGGTATACATGTAACAATATCATTGTTTTATATAGTTAATTTATGCTAAGTGTGTCTCTTGTCATCATGGCATATCAAGTCCTCAGAGAATAGAAAAGATAGCTCCCAGATATGGATGAAAGTTGCAAATATTGAATAAGCAATTGAATGACAGATGACAAGGTATAGTCCTCCAGCTAGGGGCTTGGTTGGAGGCCTAATGACCCCTCTCTACAACAAAGTAGAATGTTACAAAATGAAGGGATAAGGCTACGAATTGGTGAGAATGGTCCAGTGAACACAATAATGAACCTCCAGGTTCCATAAGAGATCAGAAATTTCTCACCAGTTAGTAACTATAAATATCTCAAAGAGGACTCTTCCATAGAGTTAGTTATTTCACTGGGTAGTTAATGGTTTCTAATTTCTGCTACCCTCTCTACATAAATGGTAGCAGTTATTGGAAAGAGAATCACTTGTCCCTAACATTCTGCAATTCACTTTGCACAATCAAAAGTAATGATGCAAACAGTGCAATTGGATACATGACATGGAGGAACTAATGATACGTGTATGTATGTTGGACAAAAAAGGCAAGGAAATATGTGCTAACATATTCTTGATCACCTAAGCCCACATGAAATTTCAGGATGTTTTATATGACTCTACATGGCATGCATTTAGTACAGTGCACATGCCTTACCAAACATAGAAAGAAAGCTGGGGAAAATTTCCTGGGCATGAAAAGCTACTGATCTTAAAATCAAGTAGAGTAAATTGTGCTTAAAATGGAATTCTAAATAATGTGGACAATTTTTCCATTTCAAACATATTCCTATTCAACACTCTTACAAATTTATAAAATTCATGCTACATTCAGGTACCATATTCTTATTTGGCCATACATATTTTCAGTTTTTTCCACTTCATTATTTTCTGCTGTGAGTGAGCTATGAAAGTATCTTCTTATATTCTGTCAATTTTCATGTTTAATTCTCTCCCAATGGGGATAGGAATGCTTCTTCTCAGATAAATTCCAGGAAGCAAGGTACACAACAAAATTATAAGAATGGAAAACAGTTAAATATTAATATTATTTTTCATTAAATTCCTACAAGGTGTGTCCCAAAAGTCATGAAATATATATATATTTTTTAAATTTATTGATGATATCGGTACAAAGTGTTAATATTCTTCGAAGTACTGTCCATGAGCATCTACACATTTTTTCCACCGACTCTCCCATGCCTGGTACGCCCCTTCAAAGGCCTAGACGGGAACCTCATTTAAAGCTGTTGTCAAGTCTGCTTGGATAGCCTGAATGCTTTCAAAACGGCATCCTTTGAGTGCAGTCTTGTTCCTCGGGAACAAAAAGAAGTCGGCCGGAGCTAGGTCGGGGCAGTAGGGTGGCTGCGGCAGCGTTGCCACATTGAGCTTCGCCAGGAACTCACAGACGAGCAGAGACGTGTGGCTGGGCGCATTGTCATGATGCAGCCGCCAGTTAGCAGCAATGTCTTTTTGCACGCGGATGACCGTTTTCCTTAATCTTTCTAGAACATCCACATAGTAGGGAGCTTTGACAGTCTGTCCTTGGGGTAAAAACTCTTTGTGTACCACACCTTTGGCGTTGAAAAAGACGATGAGCATTGTTTTCACTTTGGATTTGCTCATCTTCGCCTTCTTTGGTTTCAGGGAAGCCGAGGTGTGAGCAGACTCCCCATAGGCTTGCTTAAGAAGTTCATGAGTTTCAGTAGCTTTTTTGTTGAGCTTTGTGCAGAACTTGACCGCCCAACATTGTTCGAAAGTATCCGCCATCGCGCACCGTGACGTGGTCACAAAACACAGGTACACTAAATCAGCGATACTGACACCTCCAATGCTCGAGCAGATTGATCTTGGGTGCGCTGTGAAGCTAAAGGCCCCCCCCC